GGGGAATGAGAGAACTTGACAGAATCAAGGAGAACCACACAAAACAATTAGAAGATCGAGTGCATGGACTGATTGAAGAATGTCGTAAGAGACCCACGCAGATGACAGATGAAGAACTGGATGAAGAATTTGACAAAATCTGGAATGAAACAAAGAAGGAATTGTCCTATCCAGAGCTAGAAATCAAAGACATTTACGACAATGTGTTCCACCACCTGAGAGCAAACCTGTTACACAGGGGAAGTCATGCAAATGAATTGCTGAGTCAAAAAAACCTGCAAGATTGTGGAGTAGAGCCTTACAGCTATACAATTGATGGACTGTACAAACAATTGAAAAGCAAAGTGAACAAATTTTTCAATGGTAAAGATCACACAATGGCTGTTCAAGAAATAGCTGACAGCATCATTGATGCTTGCACACAGTTAATAACTGAAAAACTGGAAAGAAAAACGGATTACCATGATACTTACATCCAGGAGATCCTACACATCATTGATGAGAGTCTCCAAAAAAATCTTGATGTGAAGACAGAAATTAAGTTGGAAGTTTCTCTTAAACAGCACATCTGTGGATTTGCTGCCAGACGCTTTCAGAAAATGCATGAAGATTTTCTACATGTGAATGATCCCTACAGATGTCTGTGTCGAAACAAGGACAAGTTTTGTGCTGATTTCAAAGATGTGTTCCAAAAAAGAGACCAGTGCCAGAAGAAGGCTGAGGAGTTCACCTACCAGTGTCTGAAACCAGCAGTCAAAGACTTTGTCAACCGTTCCCTGGGTCCTGATATCATTGCTGAAATGCTGACTAACCAACAGTTCAGCACCCGGATGTTTTTCCAGTATACAGTTTTGCTGGATTTGCTCTCAAAGGATGACTTTGAAAGCTATGTGAGCTATATTCTCTCATATGAGGATTATGTGAAAAAATGGATACTCCATCAAATATTGGAACACTTTACAGACAGGTCTACAACATTCAGATTTGAGGATCAACATCTCAAGTCAAGTATCAGCAGCATAAATGATGCTATCAACAAGGCAAAAATGGGAACAAGTGTCAACTTGAAGAAGTTTGTTCAAAATATCTGCAAGGAACTTGGTGATAAACTGGTAATTTCTCAGGATTCTCTTGGTGCTTTCATGATCCTGAACAATGCCAACCAAGAACAGTTTGCTCATTCACTCACTAAGTGTGTGAATGAGATGGGGCAAACTCTTAGAGAAGAGTTTAAAGAAAGCGACATCCAAACGACACTAGGGCATCTTCATGTGAAGCCCCAGAATGTGCTTTTCACCAGGTTGATTGGATGTGGCCAACAGTGTCCATTCTGCAAAACACCTTGTGATGCAGGAGGAAAAGACCATACTGAGCACTGGGCTTCACTGCATCGGTCAACAGGTCTGGGTACATACAGATTCCATTTATCACAAAAACTTGACACTGACGTATGTTCCTCTCTTGTGATCACTGACACGGATTTTCGCTGTTATGCTACAAACAATGAATGGCATCCTTACAAGCGTTACAAAGAGATTTTCCCACACTGGAAAATCGCTCCAGATGTGAGCCTTGAGGCATCAGACTACTGGAAATATGTAATGGCAAAGTACAACAATCAGTTTGCCAAAGAATACAGTGCAAAGCCTGCAGATATCCCTCCAACATGGAAACGAATCACACGTAAGCAGGCAGAAGCCAGCCTCAAAGAGTCGTTTGGCATCAAGTGAGAGGCTGCACACTTTGTGGTTTACAGAGGCACACGTCCTCTTAATGATGATGATGATGATGATCACCAATCTCTTTCTGATATTTTTGAACTTGACTTTATGTCATATATACCAAAATCATAAATAGGATCATATAAGCCCAGGGATGTACATGGTTGAAGATGTGAGTACATCAAGAATTTTATTCTCTACATTTATTCTCATGAAGACTATTAAATGCTTTTTTTTGTTTGTTTTTTCAACACTGAGTCAAAGTCCACGTTGGGAGTACTAGTCAGAACACACAAAATGTGCCCTTTTTTATTTTGAAGTGTCTATTTCTGCATTTATGTGGTGTCTGAGAGATGTCTACAGTTCTTCAAAAGACAGTAAATCACAGTGACAAAATGACAGAAGCCACTCTGAAAAGGGATTGTCTTTAAAATTTCTTTCTTTGTAAGGATGTGACAGAAAATATTTACAGTTTCAATTGGTTAAGATATCATTCAGTCTATATGTATGGCATAGTCAACATTTGTTTATGTGATCTTTCTTATTTTCAGTTTACAATGTTTGTGTTTGTTTTTTCTGATGCTACATACTTCTCATTTGCTCAATGCTCATTTGCTCTAAATGTGGAACAACCAACATGTTGACATGACAGAAAATGAGATGCAATCAAATTATGATGTCATGTCATGTGATTTTTGAAAAACACAAATCTCTTTTATTGTTTATCAGTGTGTTCTTTTAAGTATATGATGTCAAATCTTTTCATTTTTGAAGAAAATAAAGGATCATTTATCTTTGTCAACATATTACATACTTATGTTCACCAACTGAATAAAGACGCAAAATCTGCTGTCTGGCTATGAATGTCTTTAATGTTTCCCAGATCAGAATCACAGCATACAGTGTATAGTAACTTCTAAAGTAAACAGAAATATCATCACCTCATTTATTTATATACTTTGTGGAGCGTTAATCATGTGCTTGCATACGCCATTCGACCCGATGCAGGATCTCTGTATGACGTTGGTGACGTGAAGCCATATTGTTTGGCTTGCTGCAGTTTTGAAGCATGTTGAAGTAAAAAAATAGATGTTCTGAATTGTATCACCTTAAAGTCGGTGCACTATTTCTAAGTTAAACAGTAGCAGGATATTTGCTCAAGTAAAAAAAAAAAGAAGCCATTTATGTTTACTATATCAAACAAACAGGCCCTACAGTAGAAACTCAAAGCAACTGAAGTCAGTCATTACTAAGATTCACATCCTTTTTTATCAATACTTTGTATGTCTACTTTTGTTTTTTACAACAGATGCAATCCTCCTAATGAAAAATACAAAAATTGTCGACAGATGTTCTGCCATTCTTTTAAGACATTTATTTATTTTAAATCTTCTCTTTGCTGGAGTGGTTAGGCTGTTTTACCTTTTTGTTTAAAATTCCCCAAAGGTGTTCTATGAGATTTAAGTCAGGTGACATACATGGTCATGGTATGTTTTTTCTTCTTCTTTACAAAGCCAGTATTTTTGGTATGTTCACAGGCATTCATTGTGCCATCTATAAATGTCCTCACACCAACACCTTCTGAACTCGTGCAGCTTCATATCATCACACTCCCACCTCTGTGCTTCACTGTCAGGACTAACTGTGGTAGTCCTGACCTGGTTCACACCAAACGTGCCGTATCCCAAGAAAATTAGTGATTAGTTCAAGTATTGCGGGTTCCGTACCTCCCGATTAATGCTGCAACTATATTTCAAGACAATTTTAGTTGGTCATTGATATTCCTGTGTCCTTTTCTGACTTTGAGAAGTCTCACGATCAGATTTTTCAGTTATTTTCCTTGTGGAGCCTACAGTCTGCCTCTACCTACATGCAGACATGCAGATAGAAGCAGACTGTAGGCACAAAACTGAGAAAGTTCTGATGTTCACAGTTCATGCAGTTGGTTTATTTAATAACAGCTTTCTAACTTGTGTGTCAGGGGATCCCAAGAGTACTGAGTTCTGCTGAATTGAGTTTCTACTTTGGAGCCTGTGTTTTTAATATAGTCTGTAAATGTCTCTCTTTTTAAATACTCTCCTTTTCAATTTAGAAACAATGCAATTATTGAGAAGGGACACAAATTTCAAGTGATGCTGCACTCACTTCTGTTGTGTACCGTGTAACTGAAATCCCTGCACTCAGTAGAAAAGACGATTTTGTAGCTGAACACAAAGACACACTGAGACAAAGAGTCCTTGATTTCTGCTGCACATTGAGAGGAAGGGCCGGTGCTCCAAAGTGCCAGTTTCCAAAGTAAGCTGACTTGCTGAATTCAATATGAAGGTGAAGAACCCTTACGGTGTGAATTTAGCCAAGTCCTTCAAATGTTAAATTGAAAAAAAAATCTGCTACAAAAGTGCACCTGACTAATAAATTTAAGGTGATTAAGCAGACAAATGTAGAACTAATGTTAGGAGGCTACAAAAATATCCATAAAAACCCAGGGCCT